AGGTAAAAATTGAGTCAGAATGCCAAACTGGATGGCCATCCTTTTTCTTCAGGTGAATCATTGAATAAATCTTAGTAGTGGAGGTTTTGTGATATCTCTGGGAAAAGTGATTAATTGCATGTATATATTGTTTCTTTTCGTAACAGATTGTATCCCTAGACTTAGACTGATTTAATTAGATTGCCATTATGATAAAATATCCTATAAACTATGGGACTCCAAAATAATTAAGTTTCCTTTTCTATAGCTAGGATTATTGTATATACATATGTAACTTTTATGTATCATAAGATCAATAACAAGACATCAAATTCTTCTACAATAACTAACATGATTTTATCAATTGAGCCTACCTTTGTTTTTACTGCCTCTGATTTATTTCCAGAACAACCAGTTGTTGAAGGCACATGTCATACTTGCTCATTTAGATTTCCTCTTGCCTTAAAAATGGAAATTCCTACTCTTATCTAACACAAAAAATCCCCTACAATTTGGATATGTTTACACCCCTTGTATAAAATTTTAATTCAAGTATCTGAATAAGATTTTTACTATTTGGGCCATCAATGTTATATATCAGGCTGAAATAGAAACATCAGCACATTGGCCCACAACTTATCAATCTGAAATACGGTAGATATATGAAGGAAAAATAGGAAAAGAAGAAGAAAGTAAAAAGATAACAAAAGGGACGAACTCCAAACAAAATTCTCTAGTCTCAGATATTTCATTCTTCATTCAAAGCGCTATAGCAATCTAACTAGAGTTCTTCAGAACTCTATTTTACAATGACAAATCATGGAGCTAACAGTATTATTATTTATTGGAAGGAGAAGTAGCAGTACCTGTTTCTTAAGCAACTTTTTTTTTCTTGATATATCCCCACCTACAAAAATAATGGATAAAACAGAATTGGATTATCAAAGATGAATACCTATTAACTTTAACATGATTGAATCTGAAGCCCTAATTCCATGAAGCATATTCATGAAAAATGAAATAACCAAAAAGAAAAACATATCCTATAGACTGTTAACAAAAATAATGGAAAGTATGCATGACATAACTAAACCAATTAGTAATACATATACTTCTTTCTATGTAGTATGTGGGGATGAGACTATGAGTTACCTTAACCTTTCCTTCTAGAGATACCTTTGCATACCATTATATACATATATATATATATGTACACTTGTTTTTGGCAATAATAACAGTATTAGTATTAGTTTTCTTCTCTGTGTTTCCTTCAAGGTATCAATCTCCCTTCATCTCACTTGATGAATCTGATGGAGAAGTATGAAGAAAGAAACATATCCTATGAATGTGGTACCTTGAGAGCACCATTAAATTGCCCCAATACTAACAGTAAGTGCAAATTACAAAAATCATCTCCAGCTTTCTTGAAAATTACAGAAATTCCAACTTAAACAAAAACAACTCCATTTTCAAAACTATTATATAGAAACTCTCCTAACATTAAATTTAAATATGAAAAAATTAACAAATACAAGGAAATAGCTACCTTTACTAAAACAAACGTACTACCATTTTGTAGATCTTTTTCTTAAACCATTTTTTCCTTTTAAAAAAAAAAAATTCTTCTCTTTTCTCCTCTTCTTTTTTCTTCTTTCTTTCTTCCGTTCTCTATCTCTCTCTACATTGTGCCAGCATCAACATCTCTTTCTTTCTGTTTTCTGTTACTAGAGTTTGCTAACCAAACAAATGAACAATGTTCCTCTAAAATTTCAAACTTCTCTTTCTCCTCTCTTAATTTCAAACCATTTCCTTCCTTTTCTTTTTGACAAATACTAATTTTTCCATTTCCATCCACTTCATGTTTTTTGGGCCTCACTCCTTGCCCAGCACACAAGGAAGGGGAAGTCTGTGCTGCCAAGGTAAGAAGAAAAGAATAAGAGAAAGAGAAAAAAAGAAAAGAAAAAGGAAAAAAGAAAAAAGAACAGGGATTATTTGACAAATAGAACTATAAGAAAAGGTGGTTAGGTTTTTTTAGTAATGGTAGTTATATCATTTTACTTGTATATGTTGATTTTTAACATTAAAAATAAATGGTAAGGGTTTCAACATAATAGTTCTGTATATGGGATGGTTTTTATCTAAGGCTTGGAAGTGGAAGGTTTCCATAATCTTACAAGTTTTTGCAATTTGCCTCAGTGATAATAGTAAATATTAGAGTGCAAGGCCAGGCTACTCCACTAAGCCCATATAGTAAACCTCAAGAGTAGGCTTGATCTGGCCAACTAATACCCATTTACTACTTACTAGAACTAAGTGGCTGGGAAAAAAAAAACTGAAATTATTGATAGATAACATTTTACTAACAAATAAATCCAAACAACAGAAGAGAGAGGAAGTGGACGGCCATAGGATTACCATAGCATTTGGCCAAAACATCCTTCCTAATTGCTGACAAGGATTCACTAGCGATCACTTTTGAACCTATGCATGCCTGTAACAAAATAGTATATTGTAACCAAGTTAACATATAACCATATCAATGAAAGCATTCCACACTGAAGATTATTCCCGAAAATCAGATAACTACCCACATCAAAATTGGAAAACCAAACGGTGAACAGTACAAGCAAGTCTACATACCACAATGATTAAAAAAGCAACTACTTGTTAAAAATAGTTATCAGATTGAATGTATAAGAAAACTGAAGAATCCAAGACTGAGTGGAAAATGAGAAAATGTCCCATGAATTTTACACATCACATGGAAGCATCTATAAATTATAATGTTTCTTCTATAAGCTCTATAAAAATATAACATGCTTTCTAGAATACCAAGAATCAAAATGCATTACCCACCAAGATGGAGTAAAGAATCTTACTTGGATTGGTACTTTGAACATTTGTCGTGGTATAAGCTCTTTTAGTTTTTGAGCTAAAGCTCTTCCTATGCTATATGCCTGAAAAAGACAGGATAAGCTGAATTCACGAGAATTAATTTAGCTCAAAATTAAATAAAACAAGCGCGTGAATCTGCACATTGATGTGGGACAATAATTTTGTATTTTTATTCCCTTGTAAATTAGTTAGTCAGATTATCAATTTGTTTGTGTTCAATTGGAAAATTACATATAAAATAGACTTATATTACGATTTGTAGTCATCATAACATCACATGGGCAAAAATCATTAACAAAGATTGTAATCATCACTACTTTATATTTTTGATATGCAAATAATATTTAAAGTTCAAACATTACATAGCATACTGGCAATGCAATAATGGGATATATGAAAAAAAAAAATTGAATTGGTCAATATTTGCCAAAAAATTTGGATTGCTCATATCCCCCATATCACACATAAGAAAGAGAATGTTTTTTTTTAAAATAAAAAAGTATAGTATGTATTTACAAGGCACCAAAAAGGGCATAAGAAAGAGAATGTTGTTTATGAACTTTATAAAATAATTGAAGTCACTTACTAATAATAATTTGATAGCTTGAGTTTGAATTTTGAAGCAGCAATAGTTTGTACTAAAGAAGTTGTTAAGCTACAAATATTTGGGCTTAAGGGATTGCACATGGCATTAAAGCATGTTCGGTGACTCCATACTAATGCAGTTTTTGACCTTTTGAGTCCATTTACTACGATTAGGATATCAAAAGTTTGAGTAGAAGAATTATAATACTACTATCTCACATTGGAGATATGCGATTAATGAACTCTATGCATGCAAATTAGACTCTTTGGTTTATTGTACTTGTGAGTTTGCAAAGCACACCAGAGCTTCTTATCCTTTAATTAATAATATAATTGTTCCTTTTATGACAATTCACTGTGATATATGAGATCCGACTCAATATGTGTAATTATTAGATTATAAATGATTTATCATCTTTATTAATTGTTGGACTCGAACAACTTGGTTATATCATTCCATAGAATGATTTGTACACAATTCGAAACAAGAATCAATATTATAGTTTGAGCAGATCTCTACACATACAAGTTAATAGTCACAAAGGACACAAAATGTTATTATTAATCAACAGATAAGATGTATTGCAACTTAACACTCATCACAGAACAATAGTTCTGTTACATTTTCTGAAGTCACTTGGATATGATTTCCCTAAACAGAAAAAAATGGATGATGAAATTTCCTACCTAATTGGGTTATTGTTGGTTAGTAAAGTCTCCTAGTATAGTTTGGGTTCTAGAAGGAATCAAAGAGTAATTATCCTCCACCAAGATATATAGATCATCTGGTTGTCTACTGTGGCAAATAGTTTTTCTCGCTTTCAGTTTCTAAAAGCACAATAGGTAGGACAGAATTCAACTTTAAAATTGAGTTCATTTATGATTGCATAAACAGACTGAAGATTACTACGAAATTCAGGGACGTGAAGGGCAGATGGTAGTGTAATGGACCAGAGCAAGTAACAAAACCTGTTCTAGTGATAGGAGAAAAAGACCCATGACTTCATAATTACTTGAGCATGGTATGTAACTTTTGAAAGTACCAGAAGAGCTTATCATCTGGTCCAGATGCTCTTGTATCTATAATCGAGTACTCAGTTTGAGCTTTAAAGACAAAAAGAAAAATAAGACCTAATTTGAAAAAGTTGGAATAAGTAACTAAGGTTGAAATGGAATAAATTCAAGACTCAAAAATGTCTTATGACTGTAACTGTTCATTAGAAAAGCTCCAAGCATTTGTTTTATATCTCCAGCTATTGGTGGTTCTACAACTTCAAACAGATTTTCTTGCAGCCTTGTCGAACCACTCTGTCTGCTCTGTGATCCTCAGTAGGCCATCAAACTCCCAGTAGCTCTCTCTCACGTCCTGTACCCGAATAATCACATAATAGATGGTCTTTTTCCTACAAACTCTAGTACTGGCTTTAGGTTGCTTATGAAGGATATTAGCAACTAACCCTGCTTTGTCCACTACCCTGTGTAACAATTTTAGCAACATTTTTCTTCTCCCATTCCTTCTCTCTTTATAGTCCAAGAATCTTGCTTAGAAACAGTCAGCCAAACCCTCTGTATCTGCAAGTCGATTACAACACCTGGAAGCACCTTACCATAAGATAAATCAGTTGCAATCAAGCTCCAAAGAGAGCAAATCAACTTGGTTGCAGTTGGCACCTAGGGAGGAAGTGGGTGCTTTTGTTTTTAAGTAGAAAATCACATTAAAAAATGGTAGCAATCTAGGGCGGCTTGGATAACATGTTGTTAATCAGAAAGCCAAAACTAGAGAAGGGGAAGGAAACACATCACTTATTCATATGCATTGTTGTTTTACATCCTTTCTTACATATACATGATTTTCATAATAGGAAATTATATACACATGGATACATGTAAAAAGTTGGCTGTTTAGGGACCTAACCTAGAATTACATTTAAATAGGAATATACACAGAATAATATAAGAGAACAATATCTCAATAGTCAACAATAATCATCTCTTTTTCTTTCTTTTCTTATATCTTATATGTTTAAAATTATATGATGCCTCTGGAAGAAATTTATTAACTTTGTCTTAATAAATTTTTGAAATGTTTGTTGTTTTTATTATAAGCACAGTATGGTATGGAAGATACACTTACATTCATCTTTCAAGAATATAGACCCAAGTACGTTATGAATTTCAAACGAGCAACACATAAAGTCATACCTTATCCTTGTGCACAATAGTTGATAAAGGTTCCACAGGATCACCGTTAATCAAAATGTCAAGCTTTATTAGTTCACTTTCCTTGTAACTGCCAGTCATTTCAGAAAGACCATATATCAAAATATATTTGCAAGTGGACCATGTTCCTCGTAGAAAAAGGATATACATGCTATTTACTTATAATTAAAACGAAAATTTGAGAATATCACTAAATTGACTCCACCTCAATGTAGGGATGGAGCTAGAATATTTTAACAGTGGAATCAATAAAATATAAGTAAAAATAATCATCATTGGCGTTAAAATTAACAAAATTATTATCAGGTCAAATTCATTTTTTTTATGATTAACAGGTTCAAAATTATTATTTACTAAAACGATTGATCAGGTTGAATTATGATATAAAATATCTTCCATTGTGCGATTCTAGCATGGTGTCAGAAGCCTTTGACATGACTGTCAGATTTGAAGTAAATGAAGAAGAAAAGAGGAAGAAGAAAAGGAGAAGAAGAAGAGAAGACCGAAGTCCAGAAGAGAAATAGATAGTTAATTTTATTACTTTATCCGTTGTCCTTACAAACCATGAAAGAGAGCCCTTTATAAGCCTTAAAACAATAAAGCAAGCAATATCAGGGCCGGAATCATGCGGCCATTAAGTGTGCAGCGGCAGCCGCGGGATGAGATGGTGGCTGCGAAAATGAAGAGATGATTAGGGTTAATTAACCCTAACCCTAAATGTTACATAAAAGACTAACTTAACTTCTTTTTTGTTATTTTCCTTTTTTACCATTAATACCTGACACATGGCTATGTCCTAGGCATTGAAGCATTGAGTTCCTTGGGTTTCTAGTTCCTGTGCTAATCATGGACAAAGGGTATTATTTCTATTATTTGTTTTTCAATATCAAGTGGAGGAAATTACTAGCACTTAATACTAAGAGAAGAAGCCCCTGCTTCGATGGAAAATCATAATTTGCAAAGCAGAAAAATTTTATTTGTCCATAATAGATGGAGCAGACTCAATCATTCAGCTGGCCATTGGAAACAATAATCTATGTTTAGATAGCAAAATTACAGAACAATGGTGAAAACAAAGTTATGTATGAAAATTTTATGTGCACTCACCCAATAAAAGTGTATTCCATGCTAGCATAGCCCTTACTTCTTGATTTCAATTGGTCAAAGAAATCACCTACCATCTGTGAAATGAATATTCCGAATCTAACTAATAAATAAAAGAGAAGCCAACACAGCCTACAGGAAGAGGGCTTCAAGCTTGTGAATAAAGGAAAGTAAAAGAAGGAAAAGCTAGTGGTTACCTCTGCAAGGGGTAATGCATAAGTGATAGAAGCTCTATTCTCAGTAATAAATTTCATTTCTATAAATTCTCCTCTTCTATCTTGAGCAAGCTCCATGAGTGAACCAATGTAATCTTTTGGCGTAAGCATCTCAATCTATAAAAAAAATAATAATAATAATAACAACAATAGTTCTACAAGCTTTAACAGAAGATAATTCATGACTCATCCCTAACAACCCAATAGGTTGGTATAACTATGAATAAAATGATTGGGGAACAAGTTACTGTATGAGAAATAACCTTAACAAATGGTTCTTCTATCGACCTCCTTTGTCCAGGTTCAGGCAGCAAACAGGGATTAGAGCAATCGACCTTCAAGAAAATAATATATTTAAGTTGCAGTAAGATAAACACAAAATTACGTTGTTAAGCAAAAAAGCATGCACAGCACCAGAAAGTCATATAAGAGTTCTTTCAAAACAAAAGTATCTTTTTTATAGGGGAAAAAGACAAAAAGAGAATGAAAAGAGAGAGGACAAAATCTCCTCCTACAATTGATACGAGATAAAAGAAAAGAAAAAAGAAAAGAAAAAGAAAAGGGATGAATGTTAAAAAAACATTGCCTCCTAGTTCTTTCACACAATATACAAAGAATAAACCAAACATAAGCCAGCACCCTGCAAAAAATGCCCTCTTGAAAAAACTCCAATCTCTATTATATAACCCCTCAAATACACAGAGAGAAACATCTCAATAGTAGCAAGAGGGCAAAACCCAACCCCTAGCCCCTTTCAAAAAAAAAAAAAACCAAACAGCTTACTAAGCTACAAAGCCAACTTCAAACTTTAAAGCCAATGGCTATTAGTCACTAACACCCAAAAATGCAACAAACAAATGTTAAATGCAACAAACAAATGTTAAAGGAAATAAGTCTACTCAACTGTTACATCTTACTGAAATCATTTATGCTAATCCTATGAAGTACTGCAGTTCAAATAAAGTTGGAGAACTTTTACCTTCCAAAAAGAAATGGTAAAAAACCAAATAACTAAAGTGGGGCTGAGTCAAAATTCGAAAACGAATCAGCAAAATAATGTACGTTAGAATCTAGAGACCAATTCTATTTATTAGGTTTAAGTAAATGATAGAAATATGAAAACAAATTAAGAGCATAACTATTTAATTCTAGAAAGAACAAAACTAATTTCAATAGGTGCAGGGTGGAGAGGAACTTACAGATTCACCATCAAGACAGTTCACTCTGTACACAACACTAGGAGCAGTAGTTATCAGGTTTAGACTATACTCCCTCTCAAGTCTTTCCTGTCAAGCGAAAATATGGTTAAGCCACCGAAAACAAAATTTCCTTAACTCCCCAGTATCCATGTCACTGAAGAAATGAGACTGTGGATCATTAAGACAAAGAAATAAAGAAAAATTCAAACCTGAACAATTTCCATATGGAGAAGCCCCAAAAATCCACATCTAAAACCAAAACCCATGGCACTTGAGGTCTCAGGCTCAAACTGTAAAGATATCAGCAAATATATGAGTTGTAAAGGAGATTCTATTTTCAATAAATTCTATATCATTCCTCAATAAATAATTGTCTTCTTGATGTGTTCCTATAATTCTTCTCTTCCTGGTGGATTCCAGTGAAACCCAATTGATTCTAGGCTACTCGTCTAGTGTGGACGTCATGAAAACACTTTCACAAGCTTGAAATAATTGTCTTCTCAATGCGTTCCTATAATTCTTATTTTCCTAGTGGATTCCAGTGAAACCTAGTTGACTCTGAGTTACTCGTCTAGCTTGGACATTATTAAAACACTTTTGCAAGCTTGAACGAGATCAAATAAATTAATTTATTTTTCGATCATGCATCAGCTGGTATCAGCTTTTAGAGTTTAATGCATCATGATTGATTAGTTGTACTTCTACTGCAAAAAAGTTCCTATCACCACATTTTGAAAAAAAGAAACAAAAGAAAAAGAAAGACAAAAGAAGCACAGAGAAACACAAAATTTCAAACAACTCTCCCTAACATTGCCAGCTTCCACCAACAGCTCCAACCACCATTGAAAGGGTGGCTGCACTACTACTGCTAACAAGTTCAGATAACGCTGCCGATTGCACCCACAAAATTTCAGCCGCTAAATTCACCTGAAATCACCATAATTTCCACTTGAACTTTAAACTACCTTGTCTAAACTCACCTTTTTGCTAATGTCAATTTCAACACCACCGATCTAGACACCGACATAACTAGAGGATGTCAAAACCGGAACATGGACAACATACAAGTCAAGCGAATAAGAAGAAGATAATGGGCTTCTCTGTATTGAGCAGATTCAAGCTGTTTCAACCAGTTGGAGTTACTTTGATCAATCTGGTTGACCACTTCCTACTTTCCAGACTGGTTCTTCAACTGTACAAACTGATTCCAAAGTTATTTTGGTATGTTTCAGAAAACTCACATTAAATTGAGTTTTGAGCATATCGGACATTAAATAAGTGTGTATGGTATAGCAATGATTACTATAAAAGAAGGCACTTCTTCAAATGCAAACACTTTTTTCTCTCTAAATGTGATCCAACATTTCGTTCAAAGTGCAAATCAACAAATTAGTATGGAATATTATCATTGAGACTCCCACAAGTAACAACAGTGTCTCAAATATCAGTAGATTTCTTATAATTGCCAACTGAACTATCCCCTAGACCTTACATACTGGTTGTGATGTCATAGTAAGCGACAGGCTTGTGGAAGAATAGAATGATATATACTTCACTGAATATTAGAGCCTTATGCATACAAGTTCGCATGAACAATAAAAGGAAACACATAATTAATTACACGTGTAGGTATATTGCTAATATATCTTTTACCCTAATTATACTTAATATACACTTCTCAACACTTCCCCCCAAGCTAGTGACTAGATTTATCCATTCTCACCTCGGCAATAATCGTATGAAATCTAGGATTACTCAATCCTTTGGTCAACATCAGCAAGTCGCAAGATGGTGGACATCTATGGTGTACATATTAAACCATTATCCAATTTTTCTTGATGAAATATCTGTCAACTTGAATGTGTTTGCTCCTGTCATGTTATAGTAGATTGAGAGTAATACTAAACACCGATTTATCGTGACAATAGAGTCCCATAAGCCTGTCCCATTCAATTCTTAAATCTTTGAGGATCATCTTCAACCATAGAAGCTCACATACCCCTTGAGCTATTACCCGGAATTCACGCTCTGGACTAGATTGAATTACCACATTCTGTTTTTTCTTTCCACGTGACCAGATACCCAATAAGAAGTATATAACTAGTGATGGACCTCCTGTCAACTACTGATGTTAAGAAGTAACTTCTGA